GGTGTTTCAGTTGGTCAGATTGGATTCAATCTGATGTAGGAATCTGGTCTGCTATCTTGTCTGTCTAAAAGTCCTTCCTCTACAAAGTGTCCAGAGGGATCTTCAGAAAATAGAAAGCAGATCACTTGATTCCCTTGAGTGAAAACTACCAATCATTTTATTATTAATATGATGGAAACAAAAGCGCAGTTTACTTTTCACGCTCTGTCATCCGTCCATGGTCTTTCCCCGCGAATCCTTAGTTGCTCTCATCCCAAGCTCCGCTGCTCTCTCTAAGCTCTGCCCACTTCTGCTCCGTGACTGTGCCAGGTTTTCATTCGTTCCACCCTAGTCCTGGAATAGCTTCTTCCTCACTCTATCATCCCTTCTCATCATTTGGATCTCGGTTCAGGTGTCACGTCTTCAGAGAGGTCTCTGCTGAGCACTCTTTCCAAAGGATCTCAACCCATCTTCATTACAATAACCCCATCTTCCTGTCTTATAGTCGTTATACCATTTATGCATATCTGTATTTGTCATACTTGTTTATGTTTATTTATTTCCTTTGTTTTTTCCCAACTGGATGTAAATTCCAGGAGGGTATGGATATTGTCAATATGTTTTTACTGCCGAATCTCTAGTGCCTAGAACAGCAGGCTCTCAAAAAGTTGGGCTGAGTCAATGAATGTCAGGAATAAATGAATAAACTTGGAAACCCAGTTGATCAGCTCATCCTGTATCAGTGAATGGCACCTCCTTTCATCCACTGTAGTTCACTCACTGTTGTGTCAGACTCTTTGTGACCCCGTGGACTGCAGCTTTCCAAGCCTCCCTGTTCCTCACGATCTCCTAGAGTTTGCCCACGTTCATGTCCATTGAATCGGTGATGCCATCCAACCACCTCATCCTCTGCTGTCCTCTTCTCTTTTGCCTTCAATCTTTCCCAGCATCAGGGTTTTTTCCCCAATGAGTCGGCTGTTCACATCATCGGTTGCAGAAGTCAAAATCTTGGAGTCACACCTAACTTCTCCTTATTCTTCATTCTTCATAGAATCAATCTTTATGTTCTGTTCATTCCAAAATAGCTCATAAATCTCTCTACTTTATCTCTAGCATCGTTATTGTTGATTCTAGAATCTATGGTTGAGATTTCTAACTGGTCATTGTCTCCTGTCTTTCCCAGCTTCAGCATCCTCATGTCACTGCGGCCAGAATAAACTTTCAAATCACAGTGCCAGCTGTGTCTCTGCAATCCTTAAAACACTTTCACATTAAAACAGTTCCGTGCTATAGCCACAGTATCTTTTTTGCCCATCTGAGCTGCCTGAAGCTATGGACAGATTCTGGGAAGTCATAAAGTTCTGATGGTTTCCCATATGGGGTTTATGGTCTCTCTTTTTCTCTATGTGAGGGCTTTCCCTAGTACCAGGGCAGCTTGCTCCATGCTCAGCCACCTGTCTGGAGCAGCTCTCAAGCCAGTGGGAATGGCATCAGTGGGTGAAGCCCAGCCATCCAGGCTTCCACGGCCTTCAACCCCATCCACGTGTGATCTCAGAGGAGTACTACGTAGAATTAAGTCCTATTGCCTGCAGCCAAGCTGTTGTTGTTTAGTCGCTCAGCTGTGTCCAACTCTTTGTGACCCTGTGGACTGTAGCCCACCGCTCCCCTGACCATGGGATTTCCCAGGCAAGAATACTGGAGTGAGTTGTCATTTCCTTCTCCAGGGGATCTTCATGACCCAGGGATTGAACCCACCTCTCCTGCATTGGCAGGAGGATTCTTTACCACTGAGCCGCCAGGGAAGTCCACCCGTATCCATAGCCAGCTCATTAACAGGCCTTTTCCTGGATTCTTCTCTTCCTCACTTGTGCATCCTAAAACCCACTCTTAGTTGAACTGCCTGCTCTTGGGAAACCGCTAACAATGATACATGACTTGTAACAGCTCCTGGATCTGATCTTTACATCTCTCCCTCCCCTGGTGAGCCTTCCCAGGCAACAACCACTTCCTACCCAAATCAACCTTGTTTTTTGGCCACACTAATTCCTTTTTAAAAAATATATAATGTAATGTATTTATTTATTGGCTACTCCTGGAAGCTTGCAGGATTTGAGTTCCCCGACCAGGGATTGAACCCGATCCCTGGCAGTGAAAGCGCCGACTCCTAACCACTGAACCTTCAGGGAATTTCACAAACTAATTCTTGAGTGTATCATGCTCTTTCTAGCTCTATGAGCCTTTGCCTACTTTTGCCTACACCTTAAATGCTACCTCCATCCTCCAGCTGCTTACCAAGGGCATTTTTGTTCTAACAGGCATCTCATGAATGCATGTCCAAATAATTGGAGCCTGAAACGAATTCCTCCTCATGCAATTCCACATAGAAGTCAAATTATTTTGGTTTATTTTTGCACAACCTATTATGGAAATATTGCTAAAATTCTGAGAAGATATGCAAGCAGAACATTATCATACAATAGTTTTTTTTTAATTTTCAGTATGTTTTTCTTCTTAATGGGCTTTGAATTAACCAGGTGCAAACTATCGACTATTTTCATGTGGAAACCATGGAATATTCGGCTGTTCAGAGAGTACATTTATTTGAATAACATGATTTTTAATAAGCTAGTATTAACTTAAAATTTTCTTTTTTAAAAAAGTCAAGTCCTTTTCTATGGTGGATTATCACATTATTATTTTTAATATGACCTTCTTGCCAAAAATGTTCCCCCAGAGTAGCATTTACTTGGTTTTAAATAAACTTTTAAGTTGTATTAGCAAGAGCTGAAGTGATGATGGAATTAGACGTTTTTATTTTATTGCAATACTCTTAGCAAGATATAGGGCTGATGCTAAGCATATAATTAGGGCATTTGGTATAATCCGTGCTTTAACATGATTTGAGATGATAAACGCCAGTTACGGCGAACATGTTACTGCTCCTTTTACTGTCACTTCTTTGCTTCTCATTAATACCTTGCATTCCTTTTCTTCTACACATTTTAAATTAGATAAGATTAATAAAAATCTAAAGTTCCTCCAGACGGGTGACATCTATTGATCTGATAACATTTAGAAGAATAGGTGGTCAAAATTCACTAGTGATGCTAGTGAATTTACACAATAAATTCACATAGTTTATACTTCATAAAGAGGCGCATTTTTATTCACCTCTTTACAACTTAGATCTGAGAAATTTCCACTTACTGTGCAAAACTCAAAGACACGGTCCTCGGCCACCTACGTTACTCTAGAATACCAGTGTTTCCATGCACCATGCCATTCTCCATCAATCCATTTTCTTTTTTTTAAGTTTTTAATTGGAGGATGATTGCTTTACAATATTGTGTTGGATTCAGCCATAGGGATACATATGTTCCCTCCCTCTTGAAACCTCCTACCTCCCACCCCTCATACCGGTCAGAATGGCAACCAACAACAACAAAAATCTATGAACAATAAATGCTGGAGACAGTGTGGAGTGAAGGGAACCCTTTTGCGCTGTTGGTGGGAATGGAAATTGATACAGTCACTACGGAGAGCAGTATGGAGATTCCTTACAAAAACTAGTAATAGAACTACCACGTGACCCAACAATCCCACTACTGGGCATATACCCTGAGGAAACCATAATTGAAAGAGATGCATGTACCCCAGTGTTCATTGCAGCGTTGTTTAGGGTAACTAGAACATGGAAGCAATGTAGGTGTCCATTGACAGATGAACGCATAAAGAAGTTGTGGTACATATACAATATTACAATCTGTTTTAGACATTGATAATTGTGTCTTTAATGTAGCTCTTCTCCACTGGGCTAACTAGATGAAGATCCAAATTGCATCTATTTTTTCACCACTATATTCCTAGCTGTTAGCATAACACCTGATGTATGGTACGTACTCAGAAAATGTTTGAAACTTTCTTCAGGTTGCATCTGTATTTATTTTTCTAGCATGTATAGAACTTCAGTGGATAACTTCATTTATTCATATGTTCCTACATTTAACTTTAGTTACACATTTATGTATTCTACAAACTTTTATTGAGCTTCTGGTTTGTGCTGATGGATTAGGCCAGGTACTAGTGCTTTAAAAATGAAAAACAGAACCCTTTTTCTTAAGAAGGGAGATAGGTAAAATATCATTAAAATACAGTAGAGGCAGGAAGGAAAGAAGTCAAGATAAATTAAAAAAAAAAATAAAGACCTGTCCCTAACTTTTTGTTTCTCCTTTCTGGTTCTACTATAGAGATCGAATGTCCTTAGTGTTTCAGCACGGCTTATGGTTCCAAATAAATAGCAATGACCAAGTAGTATAAACACTTTGGGAAATAGAAGGAACACTTTACTGAGACATTTAAGAAATATTCAGAATAACAGTGAGAGTCCAGCCTTTCTTTCTAGGTAGGCTCTACCTTAAGTCTGGAGAAGGAAAAGGCAGCTCACTCCAATGTTCCTGCCCGGAGAATCCCATGGACACAGGGGCCTGGCAGGTACAGTCCTTGGGGTTGCAAAAGAGTCAGACATGCCTTAGCGACTGAACAACAACAAAAAGCCTTGTCAGTGGGACTCCAAGTTTGCTCTAGGGACCATCAGCTGGAAGGTTGTTACAAATGTAAACAGTAGGCCTTTCTCTAGACCTCCCCAGTCAGACTCCAGAGGTGGGGCTCAGCAGTCTGTGTTTTAACAGGCCTCCCTGTGGGTCTCCTATGCGGTTTAATGTGCTCATTCGTGTCCGACTCTGTGACCCCATGGGCTGTAGTCTGCCAGGCTCCTCTGTCCATGGAGTTTCCCACGCAGGGATACTGGAGTGGGTTGCCATGCCCTCCTCAAAGGATCCTCCTGAGTCGGGGATTGAACCCGCGTCTCTTACATGTCCCGCATTGGCAGGCAGGTTCTTTACCACCAGCGCTACCTGGGAAGCCAGTCTAATGTTGGAGAACAACTGGTCTAGAGGGCTCTCCACCCCGTACCGCCTGCCCCGCCAGCTTTCCCAGTGCAGAGTTCCTCCATCTGCCCGTACCTGTGTTATCAAATCAGAAGTCAAACCTGACTCCGTATGGTTCCTGAGACACAGAATCTGGGCTGACCGTTGCACGCCGATGATGCGGGTTCCATCACCAGCTGGCCTCTTTGCCAACAAGCCTGCAGCCAGGGCCATCCTCCGCGTGCGCTCTGACCTCCTCCTGGCCACTCGTGTTTCCACGTCTACTTTGTGTCACCCGAAGAGCATTCACTAGTCTAAAGGAAAAGCAATAGGAATTTAGAGCAAGGTTAATAGTAGATATTTGCAGCATTTAGTGTGATAAGTCAGTGAAAAGTGTTTGAACCCATCAAAGGCCTTTTTTTTTTTTTTTTACTCTATGAGTTTCATGTTTTTTTCTTTGTTTGTTTTTGCTATAACACCAATCCTGAGTGTCTTGAATCTTTAGTATGAAGCTGTAATCAAAATGAGAATAAATGAGCCTATATACATCAACATAGGTTCCTTACTTCCTGAAATATCCAGTATACAAAGACACACACAATTGTTTTTGTTCTTCAATACATAACGTTCTTTTAAAATGTATTTCAGAGTTGTTTTTTTTTTTTTCCAAAAATATTTAAATTGTTTGCTTTGTAATGGGTGGCTTACAGAGTTTTGCCACTCTGAAAATTCTGACTTTCCCTTAATGGCTCAATTGATTTTTCAGAGAGGAAAGGCTTGCTATTTTTCAACTCAAAGCAAATAAATTTATCTTACTGTTCTATTTTTTATACTGTCTCAAACACATATCTAATAGCAGTTCAAATGGCTTTTGAAAATTAGAAGAGTAAAAGTATGGGGAAGCTTTCAATTAAAAATATCTCACTTTGTCCTTTGAGCTATTTTCTATTTACTAGGACATTATTTAACATTGAAAAATTAATGTTAAGACTCCCTGGAGAATGCAGTGCTGTGATGAAGATCGTAAGAGTTGCCTAGAAAATACAGAAAATATCAATCTACAAATCAGTCATTCCATAAATGTCTTAGAAATGCCAGCTTCATGCAAGACATGGCTCTAGATTCTAGAGTGAGATTGGAGATAACACTTAAATGGAAAAATACACATGAAAAGCCAAGTTACAATATCAATATTAATAAGAATTTGCTATTGTATAGCTCGTTTAAATTATACTCTTTGATCCTACGGTGCAGGAAGAGAAAGAATTATTACCCTCACTTCCATATAGGAAAACAGGCTGAGACTGGCGAACATCAAGTGTCTTACCCAAGGTCCTGAGTCGCTAGGGTGAGAGTCAAAACCACGACGAAGAGTGACTGGTTAGCCTCCTGGTAGAGGATTTGTTCTGTGTTGCCGCTTATAAAAAAACAAACCAAACAATAACAACAATAATCAGAAGATGGTGCATGGTGGATTTGTGAGTGAATAATCTGGTTATATTAGCAAAATGCTTTTATCCAGCAGTGATGGTTGGGAATTCTCTCTTTGAAGGAAAGAAGGATGCATCTGATTTGGAGCCAACCAATCTGAAAGTCAAAGAGCCTGGTCTTGGGGAAACGATCTCACCAGTAGTGAAAGGAAGAAATGGTGTGGGGAAACCCTGCATGGACCCATGGTCTGCCATGGATGAATGCACCCCCTTCGACTTTGATAGGCTGTCCTGATGTTTGCCTAGGCCTGGCCGTTTATTTGCAGAGACTGTTGTGAACTCCCAATGTCTAGTATGGTCAGCCCTTGGGGGCCACATGAATGCTTGTGAAGTCCAGTAAGTTCCAGACAGCTATGCTTTTGTCCAACTATGACAATGAGGCAGTGGTTCTCTGTCAAGATCTTTCGGGTCTGTTGTCCTTGGATATTGTTTGGTTAATTCTAATTATTTTAAAATTAGGATATAACTTTCTTTGTTCCCCGCCTGTGAGGTCAGAGGGTGTGGCTCTGGTCCATGTGCTTTTAACACAACTCTTTGGAGGGAAAAGCCATGTTGTTGGAGGACACAGCAAGGGTCCGCCTTGGTTATCATTAAAATCAGACTCTGGAAAGAGAGTCTAGGAATAATGCTCAGGACACTCCAAGCCCTTGGCAGGTCCTTACTTCTTTCTTCAGAGCAGCGGGCATTAGACAGTAGATGGCAGTGTGACATGAGGAATTTAAACCTTGGCAGAGGCTTGCTTGAAACCAGCCCAGTAAAAATGGCTTTTTGACTTGGAAGCATTTATTAAATGAACCTTCCGTCAGAGTTTTGTCTGGTGGCCAGGAACCCGCCCTGGAAGGTTCTGGCAACCCGCAGGTGCGGTTCTAAGTGCTTTGTTTGAAGTGAGCCTGCTGCCCAGCTGGGAAGCAAGGTGGGGGCTTTTGTGCACAAGTTCGTTTTCACCAAGCCAAGCAAACTGACACTCAACCGTCCCGGCACTCCTGTGCCCCTGGCAAAGTTGGCATCTGCCTTCTTTGCCTTTGCAGGAAATTCATCCTACTTCCACGTATAAGGGGAAACCTTGAAATGTACAAAAGAATAACCATGCTTCAGGTTTTTACCTAATCTTCACCTTCCTTTCTGCCCCAAATCCCTTAAAAACCAGAGGTAAGGAGTGGGATGATTTCTAAACTCAAAAGCAGATGATTACATGAGAGAATTTCCAGGTCAGTCTGCAAGGATACTTACTACTCCCCATGGTTTATCAAAGAATGGACTCTGTTCAGAATTTGTAAGCAATCGTGGAAAACAGAAGAATGTTGAAGCTGGTTTGGGCCTCGTTTCTATTTCAGACTCTTTTCCAGTGCAGGATTTGGTATCTTTGATTAGTCCCCTAAATTTGTCTCCCTCTGGAACATGTTACAACAAGAAAGTGTATTTTAAGTGGGGAAGGAACTAAAAACATTTGATTTACTCATTATTTTACTTAATAGAAAAGAAGTCAATAGTTCTGAGAGGATCCATGCCCTACATGCAGTAATTATAGAATTAAAAAAAGGCACACTGTCAGAGTATCATAAAATTAGTAATTTTTCTGCTTCGTGTGTATGTTGAGTGCCAAGTTGCTTCAGTCATGTCCTACTCTTTGCGACCCTGGGACCGTAGCCTGCCAGGCTCCTTGGTCCACGGGACTTTCCAGGCAAGAATACTGGAGTGGGTTGCCATGCCCTCCTCCAGGGGATCTTCCCAACCCAGGGATTGAACCGGAGTCTCCTGTGTCTCCTGCATTGGCAGGCGGGTTCTTTACCACTGTGCCACCCAGGTTGTGGACCAGCATAAACATATCTCCTAAATTTTAGATGCAGCTTCTAAAAATGTCATTTCTAAAGCAGTGGAAACTTCAGCTCATGTATGATGTTGTATTCATTATTTAACCTCTCTAAGCTCCTCTTTTCCCAGCTGTAAGATGGCAGTAATAGAGTACTAACTTCATAGAGCCCAATGCATGATAACCATTAGCTACTGTAATAAGCCTGAGATAATAAATATTAGCCATTATTGTTAAATAGATATTGATGAATATAGTTGTATTTTCAAAGTTGCTTTCTTCCCACTTCCCAAAATAATTCAAAAATATAGTGACTGCTAATAATATTCTATACCAAAAAATCTAGTTGGTAAATCTGCTTAAAAAAGGATGCATTCTGAAAGGAGTTGGGACTATTTACAGAACACTAATTTTTATCAATGAGCTTCAGAGAAGAAAGGCATGAGAATTAAGTATTTGCCAAAAGTCATATAAATCTCTTCCTTTTATTAGGTAGAGTTTCTTTTCACCATATGAGAATGGGCATCAGATATTGAAGGATTAGAATGTTTAGGCATGAAGGTATAGTCACCTTCAGAAAACTGGAGCCTTCTGAGGAGATGTTCTGTGACCAGAACTTAAGTTTAGCATGAGCAAGAATAAGAGGAATTGTCCAAATGAGTTATATTTAAAAGTATCAAAAAGTTCTTTCCCGACTTCACCACTTTTACTTTTTCGTATTTTCCTCAGGTTGTTTTTACATTTTGTTTTGTTTGAATTAGTTTTTCTCAGTCAAGATGTTTGGCTCTGCCATTTCCAGACTTGGAGAACTCGAACCGATAGTTGAACGCCTCTCAGTTTCACCTATAAAGGAGTAATAATGCCTCAAGTTCTGATGAAGTGAAATTAGCAAAGAAACAGAATACCCTCAGCTCATTTTGGAATGTAGTATGTCCTCATTCAATAAAAGCCAGAGATATAGTTACAGAATTAGAAAACTATGGAATAGAATTATGGCTGAAAAAAATCACAGAATCAGTCAAAGCTCCTTATTTTAAAAACAAGGAAGTTAGTGACTAGAAAGGGTAAATAAAAATCAGTAACACTTATTGTATTAGTATTAGCCAGGCGTCTCCATACGGAACCGTTAGGGGATACGGATAGGTAGGTAGATAGAGACTTTCATGTGCTCAGTTGCTCAGTCATGTCTGACTTTTTGCAACCCCATGGACTGTAGCCCACCAGGCTCCTCTGTCCATGGAATTCTCCAGGCAAGAATACTGGAAGTGGGTTGCCATTTCCGACTCCAGGGAATCTTCCCAACCCAGGGATTGAATCCGAGTCTTATGGGTCTCCTGCATGAGCAGGTGGATTCTTTATCACTAAGGCCATCTGGGAAGCCCATACATACATAAAAACATACATAATTATTGTGAGAAATTGGCTTACATGATTATGGAGCTGAGAAGTCCTAAGCTTTACAATTGGCAAGGTCTAGTTACTAGTTTGAAAGCTAGCGGGCATGAAACTGAGGAAAACCTAATTTTTCTGTTTGAGTCTGAAGGGAGAGAAAGACCAGTGTCCCAGCTCAGAGGAGTCTGGAAGTTTCCTGCTAGTGGATCGGCTTTGGTCCAGCTAGTCCTTCAACTGATTGGATGAGGCCCACCCACATCAGAGAGGCAATCTGCTTTACACAGTCTACCTGAGTAAATATTAATTTCACCCAGAAACACCCTCGCTGACCGCCCAGAATAGCCTTTGACCAAATATCTGGGTATCCCGTGGCCCAGTCAGGTTGACCCAAAAGTTAATCAACACTTTATACTGCTATTGATGTTTAGGCTTCTGAAGCAGCCTGTGTAAGGAAAACTTGAGTCCTGCTTGTCCTGTTTGCTCAAGTATAACATTTCTAGTTTATCCTCTGTGTTTAGGCTCTTCTCTTCCTAAGACAAATC